AATAGCTTTCTTTTTGAGATCGTGCAACAACGTGCGCGCTGTGTTCCGCCAACCGTTAGCACAGTGACTGCTCGAACCATCATAAAATAAATCCACATGTGTGTGCTATTTATATCCAGTTCAAGTTTATGTGTAAGTCTGCAATTTTTGACATCCTACCGCGGAAGCAAAGGTTTTGAAAGCGATGAAAACGTGAACGTCAGATGACGAGAAGTTATTGGAAATGCGCTACTACCATTGCTCTGCAAAATCAGTAGCACTAGTGATGGAGCCACGAAAAACCCATTTAAACATTGACGCGGTTGCGCATCACGTCTTCGCAAGAATAAGTCTTGTTTTCTATTGTTTACTCTTTCTCATGACTCAGAACTATCCTTATACATTATCGGATCGAAACTATGTGCCTCTACCGTCAATGATAATCGAAGGGGTCAAGCATGCTGACAAAATCATAGAAAAGACGGCGATATACGCGCAGAACGGCTGTCGTCAATGTGTTAAATACAGCAGTAGCTTTCCAAAGTCCGCGCACCAAGTTAAGCATACCCATACGTATTTGTCAAAATTGCACCTTTATTTTCCATGCTGTGGTGAGAGTTCTTTACAACGTAATGCTGTCTTAGTGGTTTAAGGTATTCGTTGAAGTGGAGTATCCATAAATAAAAGGAAAGCGATGAATTCGTAGTGCATGGGAATGTACAACATTTGTTACTCAAACATTTTGTATCATGACGTTTAGAAAATGCTTTAAAAGAAATTTTCAGAATGGCGGAGAAGTTGCCGGACTTCAAGAATAGCCTTGCTCTCCTCGATGTGTTGATTGACAAGAAGGTACAGATTCTAAAGATTCATTTGTAAAACACTTAATGCGTTAGTTAAATCTTCGATCTTCAGGTTTACAACCTGTACTGAAAGCGCCTCTTTGAAAGTGCACTTTTAGAATTAGTGAGATTCGATAGAATAGATTCTTCCAGAGGCACATCGTTTCACTTGTCATTAGATCATTCCCGTCCCCGGATAAGGTAGTTAGGTCCGTAACCGCAAAAGCAATACCTCACTCACGACACAAAACGTGTAGCAAGAGCTAGTCATAGTTCCTCATACCTTGTATGTATGGACACACCTCATATCCATGTATGTGTATCGTTGCGAATGCATATGTGTCTGCGTCTCTTCCGACCCTTCTGCTCTCTCTTCCACGTTGTTCTCTTGCACGAAGCCTTAATATGGGCTGTGGACAACTGGAGACATGAAGAGACAGACTGTTTAGGAGTTCCTCTTGAACTGTCTGTCTCTTCATGTCTCGTAATTGTCCACAGCCCGGATAAAAAGTTGGTCCTTACCTTCACTGTTTTTGGAAATTCCTTTCTCTTTTGTTTTCAATGGCGAGCCATTTCGCAGAGCACCGCAATTTTTATTCGAATACAGTCACAATATCTACTTCACTGAGTGTATCTCTAATTCATTTTTTTACTCCAAGTTTTTTTTTCGTAGGAGAAGAACGAACCCTTCGAAACCACGTACCTGGTCTCTGAGGAAGTCTACACGAAAGCCGTAGTACCGAAGCCAGAGAAGGTGAAATTTTTGGTCATTATTTCTGAACCTCTACACGAGTTTTTTTATGCCTAGTCAAGTCTCAATATCAAAATCTCCAGGTCTCGATTTGGCTGGGTGCCAGTATTATGGTGGAATATGAGCTTGACAAAGCAAAAGAGCTGCTGGAGAAGAACCAAGGAAGCGTTCAGAAGGTAGGTTTGCAAAAAGTGTTGTTTTCTCCCAACAAGGGTGTTTTTTGATGAAGTGTTGAGAGCTGGTAGACCTGTCTCGTTTGTATCGCAAATATAAATACCATTGAAGTCCTAGGCAATTTCGATGCATTTGCGGTCCACGCTTTGACCACTGGAGCCAACGGATGTTCATTTGTGTGAATTTATCCCCTCAGAAAAGTGTAGGCGACGGACAGCGCAGCCCTGAAAGGGTGTTCTCTGCGCTGGGATCAATCTCGTAGACCGTACAAGTGACTGATGACATCTTTCCCCCCAGCACCTACTCCGTTTCTCGACGTGAAATATTTTTGACGCATACCTGTATATGCTATAGAGTGAATATAAACCTGGAGAATCGACGGAAGAAGTGATGGTTATGGGATTACAGCAGTGTTTGAGTTCTTTCAGTTCCAAGGTTCCACGAGAAGGTCGAAGGTCGGAGAAGGGAAAATATACGTAGCCAAAATGCAGACGGACCCCCATAAAGGTGCAGGTTTTGCTACGTTGCGCGTTTCGTAGCGAAGCTGCCCAAGTAGCCTAGCTCGCGCTAGGCTGCTCGCGCTCACCCCTAAGCCGTCTGAATCCGACTGTTTGCAGAGAGAGAGAAAGAGAAAGAGAAAGAGAGGAAGAGAGCGTTAGAATGGAAGAGGGCGCACTGTGACAGTTTCATGATTTCAAGTAATCAGCTTGCAAGGAGGGAGTCTTGATTTCCCGTTTCTCATCATTTTTTTCATCTTGTGCACCAATATCCTCCTATACCTTGGTTTATGATGGGCTGTCTTTTCATCATGAACTCTGCCTTTAAGTTCTTTTCCTTGTGCATACATTATGCGGCGAATACAAGCAATTTGCTAATATCCTACCGTTGTCATAGCTTGAAGCCATCAAAAGCAAAGTTTCTCTTTTCAAATGTAAGGAATCGATTTCAGGCTGTTCGATGAACTGACGACTGAGCTGGCATTTGTGAAGGAGCAGATCACCACCACCGAGGTGAACATACGGCCCATGTGCACAATTACGGAGTGAAGAAGCGCCAGCAAAAAACTGGTGCTTAATCGCTGAACTACCTCAAACGCTGCAGCTTTTGTTGACAATCGTTTTTGTGGTGCCTTTTCCTCATTTTTTTGGCTTTTCATTGTTCGGTCGCAGCTACATCGCGGATGGCAATGCCGCTATACGTCGTATTTAGCGCTGATGGGCATTGTTGAGAACCCTCATCGGTTGATATAAAAAGTTCCTTTGATTGTGCTCCCGTTTGGGGCGAGGATTTTCCCAGGCGTCATCTCAGTTTATCCGACCAAGCTTTGCAAGGTTATTGAAGCTTATCGCACACCATTTGTTTTCTCGTATTGATCTTTGCTTCACTTGATCAAAGCAGTAATCCTGCTTTAACGTTAAAGTTTGCGCGGGCAAGTTAAATTCATTTTTTTTCCTTCGGTTAGACGAAATGATCCCTAAGAAAATATTGAGGCGACCATGTGTTTTTGCATAGGTAATTTTGTTATGTCCGTCGTTTTTGCACTGTTTATGTTGATTTCACAGTTGAATAAAATGCCTTTGTTTCTATCAATTCGTGGTCAATCCTGTGGGGTTTTGTACACCAAACTCATCTCAGAAACATTCAACAGGGAATTTTGCCGTACAGGTGGCCAGCTAAACCACGTTTTGGATCTCATCCACTAGGGGGGGGGCATAGCGATCTAGAGCATTTCAAACCATGGAAAGCACATTATTTTATTGTAGACGTTCAGGACTAAGCCCTAGAAGGGAAGGAGTCCCCGGGTCCGTGAGCAATCTTGGCTTTCCCCGGGGGACTTCCTCCCCCTCCTGGGCTTAGTCCTGACCTGCTGACTAGGTGAATATTACTTTTCGTAGACGTTAATGTCATCTAGTACAAGAATACATACATTACACAAAACACCTGAAGAAATAACATAGGAAAAAAGCTGATAGCAGCTCGTAACTTTAAAGGACTCCTTGAGCCAAATTGGCATTAGAGCAGACCCGTGCCGCAATGCCCCCTCTTACCGGATGAGACCGCACGTTTACTGGACAAAGCGTTTATTGATGTGCAAACAAAGGCAAGTAACCGCGCCATAAACTAAATGCAGTATGTCTTTAAAATATTGTGCTCGGCTTCAGGAGCCTCATCAGATCCCAAATGTTGTAGGAAGCACAGAGGTACAGTTTACCAGTTTTTATCCAGGAGAATCCCAACAAGAATTCTCGAAAGAAATACAATATTCCGAAACAGAAATCCACTGCACAAGTCAAAACAGAATCCTCTGTAAACTTTTACCGCGATATTTCGGTGTTTACACCTTCGTCAGCATGAACTTTGGCCTAAGGCTAGCTGCAGTGGCTTCATTCCCACGGGCTGCAGCAGCGGCTCCCTAGGGTACCACTTAAAGGAATCTTGCGCGGAAAATTCTTGCACTCTTTCCTAACATGAATATGTCAGTTGTGATCACTGGAAATAGCACACAAAGTTTCACGCATGAAGATTCGGTTTCTGAAGAGAAACAAACGTACAAAAACTACACGTTATGGACCATCGAAGGACCAGGAGGCAGAGCCAGGCGAGGCATGGAAAGAAGACGGCGTTTGGCCGGCTACGTACCAGGCGACGCAATGAGAGAATCGGGTTAAAGCGCGCGATTTCGGAGAGTGGAGACAAATCGATCGATGGAATAGGATGGAGTAGAAGTGTAAGATGTGAATGCAACGAAGCAGAAGGCCAGAAAGAGCTTCTAGTGAATGCACTCCAAGAACCAAGTTTGAGCATCCCCGTCGCCAGCATTCGTGAAAGACGTCCGTGGGCAATTCGAACGCGTAGCAGCCTTTTCGAGTTTTCGAATTTCTAATCAAAACGAAAGCAATACTTCAGTTCTTTTCACTATTATCGTGGATAATGAGTCTCAAGCCAGTGATTTATGGCTGAAATAGAAATCATGATTTTTCCGCGCAAGATTCCTTTAAGGTCCATTTACTTCCTAGCACGGTGACATACGCCGAAATTATCGCTGGAGTTTTCCAATAAATAATGCTTATAGAGCGTTGTTTTCGGTAATTTTCTTGTGTAAGTTTTTGGTGAATTTTGGGATTTTTTTGAAATAAAATTTCCAGTGCTTCGATTGTGAACGAGTACACCATTTGGGAGCTTTTAATTTTACGAAAGGCTCCCAATTCCAAGAACATACTCAAAATCAACTACCACTAGCAAGAGTGTCAGATGTGCGACCTTGATGGCTTTGAGGCCGCAAGCCATACTTTTTTGTCAGCAAAGTGACTGCTGATCAAAAAGAATATAGCCGATGGGAGGAGGGTGGCTAGCTGTATGGTGAGCTGGGAGGTACGAATAGGCTAGAATGTTAAAGGCACAACCCAGGCAGAGGTCGTGTGAACGCTTCTCTTCGGTCAGAAGTATAGAACCCTAGGGGACAATCACAAATGTGGCGTTCACGTGCACGGAATTCGACCGACAAGAACGCTTTGGGCTTGCAAAGTAAGCTGCTCGAGCTGCAGCGAACGAGCTCTCTTATCAGGCCGTTGTCTGGTGCTCTCTCATCTGATGCGCTCTCTCGCCCCATACTCTCCTCTTCGCGCTTAGTCTCTCGTTCCTTTAGCACAGCCAATTAGGAAGGTGAGTGAGCCCTCAACCTGAGCGTTTTCGACGGATTCTTTTCCTTTTTTCTTCACTGCCGGCCCACTTGGCACCGATACATTCACATTCGTGTGCAAGAGCCACACCAGTGCGATCCTGGGGCATGCCTTTAAGCTCTAGGAATACGGAAGCCGCGTAAGTCGATAGAAAGGAATGCGGCCCTTGAGTTGATCGGCAATAGTGTATTTGTTGTTCATCCGAGCACTCACAATGATCACAGCAGTCCTCGATGGGCGTTCTGGCTGGACCGGAGGGGATCTCTCGGAGGTTTGGCCGATGTCAGACTTTGCGAACGCGCGAATTCCGTCCGCGGTCGCGTTGCGGGGGGTACAGCCAAGGCTTGCAGGGGGGGCGCTGGAGAGGGCGGGCAGTGATGCACTGGTGCCGCAGACGGCGACGCCGGACGCGAGCGCAGAGCGCGCGCCAAATTTCGCAATGCGTGTGACAGTCCGGCGCTTACCTGGGAGACAGGCCCACCCACCAAGCGGCTCGGCTGATAACCCTTATTGCGGAAGTTATACGATTTTTTCGACCTCTCTGCGTTTGCTGACATGGAGCTGTCACTTCCCATGAGTAGTAATGAGTTGCTGCCGGGTCATTGGGGGAGAGTGTGGAAGAATTTACAGACTGTCTTCGCGCCTCGCACTCCTGCGAGACTGCTGTCGTCGAGAATCACGAGCGGATCGGTGATGCGTCGCGCTTCAGCACACTGTTGTGGAGCCACGAACATCTAACCCACACACATTTATGAACAGATGGCACTTGAAAATTGGGCATAGTAACGAGGCGGAAAAGACAGAGCCGCTGTGATCTCGAGCGGGCTGAGCTTCAGTGAGAGTATACGATGATTAAATCTGATGACGACGGCCTTGGAATTAGGACTTTTCTTCCAAGCTGTAGCTGATCTAAGCAGCTTTAGACCCTTTGATAACCACACTGTGGACGACGGACAGGTGTATCACGCTAAGCCATACACTATTACATCTAGCCTCGACCTATTTTCAAGTCAGTAGAAGTTCGAAAATGAGAAAGAAAAGAAAAGAGAGGGAAACACAGCTTTTTTCTTTTCTCATTGTGAAATCGAAAAAAGCCACTAGGGCGAGACTTTGCAACCTTTGGCTTTGTTGCGAGCATTCCCACGGGCGCGGTTTATGAGAGCGGTGACTTCGCAATGTGCCATGCGCCATTATACCTTCTGTACACTAGGTTTTACAGCCCAGTCAGGGTCGGAGATTGGAATTGCCTTTCAAATAATTACAACCAAGCGATCGAAGAATTTTTTTCTATTAAATTATCTGCGCATCTCAAAGGAGCTTACTTCACTGTCTTACGCTGGTCACTTTTAAGGCAAAAGTCGGGCTCGAGTTTGGGCATTATGGCACCTGAAAATGAGCGTAGAGATGCGAAGTGATAGTGACAGTGAAGAAAAAAAACCAAAAGAAACCGTCGCCCGGAGAACACAACCCCCGCTGACCAACAGCATCGAAGGAGGCCGGGATAGCTGAGCGAGGTTGCATGGGGGGCGGAAGTTGTCCGGGGACATTGCTGGCTATCAAGCCAAGCTGTTGATAGGGGCGCGGCCCCAGAGTCCTTGGCGCGCACTTTTGACCTACGACAGTGTCGCGCCCTCAGTGCTGGGGAGCCCCCTATGACATCCTGGCGAAGGAGCCTGTACCGGTCTCCGGACAGTCTGTCAACCGGGAGCTAGGCAGAATGCAGGCGTTATTGGTGGTGGTCTATCTCGGGAGCTTAACACAAGCGCGCAGTATTTACAGAAATCTCTACTTCTCTAACCTTCCTTTGAAAGCGTAGTCCCACTAAGTCACCATAAGAACGTCGTCCCTCCTACACTCTCACCTCCTGGTTGACAGAAGCCTTGTAACCGACTTCTGCTGTTTGCCTAATCCTGACTCGTGGCTTTGATTATTTTCCCGAATTTGACAAACACTACTAACTTATACTGGTACTTGCTGAGAACAGAAGCAATACAATCTTGGCGCACAAAAATCATTACAGCGCAATTCCTGGCTACTTCAGAAACTGTTTTTACTTTGAACATTTATTACAATTATTAATGAAAATGCATTGAACACAATGTTGTAGCGCTATAATCAAACACAAGTTGAAATAGACTGAAACTCTTTGTCTAATGGTTGACCAGCGGGACGAGTGAACTGAGAAACAGGAACAATCATATGTTGAGATTTTGGGGCAATGCCGCTTTGAGACTTCCCTCCGATCACCTCCCTGCTCCTGCGACGAGCATCAAAACGAGGC